TCATATATTTCAATACATATATTATATATTTGAATATTACAGTGTTGGTTCTCAAGAAAATGAGTTTCCGAAACATCCGTGGATCAAAGTTCCCTTCCCTAGCAGCTCGTGGGTCCAGGGACTGGTCCAGGTATATGGACCATGCGGACATTCCGGCCCTCGTCCTAATGGAGAACATGGACGCGGACGGGGCCCACGTTGCATTCCTAGCATCCAATAACCTGGACGTCCTTCTTTCACCAGGACGCGGCCCAACGCGAACCGAAGTGATAAACAGCCAAGTGATGCGTGTCTCTATGGGCGAACCTCACCTAACCGTACGCGAGCCGGTCATCCTGGTTTTGCGTCATCTGAGCGTTAGTAATGTGACTCAACCTCGCTGCGTTCACTGGAGTGAGGATGGTTGGTCAGATGATAAATGTCTTGTCTCCTGGAGTAATGTGACTCATACAGCTTGTGAGTGCAGTACTATGGGAACATTTGCAATCCTTGAAACCATAGAGGAAGAGGAGAAGTTGGACAATGTGACCTTTATGCTGACTCTGGTCGTATCTGTGACCGTGACTATTATCACGGCTGTTTCTCTCGCGCTTCTGGTCTTCTACTGTAAGAAAGTTAAGGTAAGACCAAAAAGAAGCAGAACGTTGTTTGTGTTACAGAAATATAGCAAATACTAAAAAGCTTATTACTTACATTTTCTGTAGTGTCAATGATAAATATGCTTTTACACTAACTCAAAAATTATTACACTAACTCAAAAATTATTTTCTTTAAGATTCATGAATTTTACATGTTAATAACTTCCAACAATTTACATTTTTGGACTAAATCTTGAAAACGTGTTAAAATAGCCTTTGATAAAAATGATCAATTTTTAAATTTTTAAAACTAGGTTCGCGATGAATGGAAATACCGGTTATCTGTGTCCGGTCTACCTTGCTTCCAGCAGAAGAGGCGAGAGTTGACCGGAAACCTGTATTCGACCTCACCAACCTTCATCCATCAGAATATGTTCACCAGCTCAGATTTCATGGTGAGACTAACATTCATCTTTTTATCATTTTTTCCTGCATTTTATCTTACTTTTTTCTTCATTATATCATACTCACCTTATCCTACTTTTTTCCTTCACCATATCATACTTTTTCCCTTCATTATATCATACTTTTTTCCTTCGCCATATCATACTTTTTTAATTCATTCTATCATACTTTCCTTCATTATATCACACTTTTTTCCTTCATTATATCGTAATTTTTTCCTTCATTATATCATAATTTTTTCCTTCATTCTATCACACTTTTTTCCTTCATTATATCATAATTTTTTCCTTCATTATATTACACTTTTTTCCTTCATTCTATTAACTTTTTTCCTTCGCCATATCATACTTTTTTAATTCATTCTATCATACTTTCCTTCATTATATCACACTTTTTCCTTCATTATATCATAATTTTTTCCTTCATTATATCACACTTTTTTCCTTCATTATATCACAATTTTTCCCTTCATTATATCATACTTTTTTCCTACGCCATATAATACTTTTTTAATTCATTCTATCATACTTTCTTTCATCATATCACACTTTTTTCCTTCATTATATCATAATTTTTTCCTTCATTATATCACACTTTTTTCCTTCATTATATCACACTTTTTCCCTTCATTATATCATACTTTTTTCCTTCGCCATACCATACTTTTTTAATTCATTCTATCATACTTTCCTTCATTATATCACACTTTTTCCCTTCATTGTATCATAATTTTTTCCTTCATTATATCATAAATTTTTCCTTCATGCTATCAACTTTTTTCCTTCACCATATCATACTTTTTTCCTTCATTATATCACATTTTTTTCCTTCATTATGTCATAATTTTTTCCTTCATTATATCACACTTTTTTTCTTCATTATATCACACTTTTTTCCTTCATTATATCATAATTTTTTCCTTCATTATATCACACTTTTTTCCTTCATCATATCATACTACTTTTCTTTATCATATACTTTTTTCTTCATCATCTCATACTTTTTTCTTCATCATATCATACTTTTTTGTTTAACTATGACTGAGAATCATCTACAGATTATATCGAATTATTACACTTTCTTCATCTGCTCTGTCCCAGCCGGGTTAAATATTATCCAGTGGTTTATTTCCCCAAGGGGGGGGGGGTTATTCTGTCTGATACTCGCCATATCATACTTTTTTAATTCATTCTATCATACTTTCCTTCATTATATCACACTTTTTTCCTTCATCATATCATACTACTTTTCTTTATCATATACTTTTTTCTTCATCATCTCATACTTTTTTCTTCATCATATCATACTTTTTTGTTTAACTATGACTGAGAATCATCTACAGATTATATCGAAAGTTGGTATTAAACTTTCTTAAAATTAAAAACTTGAATTATTAAGAAACCTCCGAGAGAAAAGTTTAATTTTCTCTTCTTTACCTTTCAAATATGTTTCAATTATTCAAAATAAACTTTGTTTGTTTGTCTTCGTCTGTTTGTTTGTCCATATCTTTTTCAAAAGTTCAAAACTTAAAATTAATCTAGAATCTAGGATTGTATAATTTTAATTTTTCCAAAACTTTTAAAACTTAAAATTTGATTTTACTCACACAGATTTACACTTTTTCTGGATTTTTCATATTTTGCTCTATTTTTTAAAAAGAATAAATAAATTTTGAAACAATGTTTAAAAATTCATTTCAATTGGGATCTATGAAAATCAAATTCTATTGTTGGCAAAACTTTTTCACATTGAAAATATATAATAATAAAAATAGAACATTTTACACATTCTAAAATTTGAATGAAAAATTAAGAAATAATTTAATTTTGTACAGAAAAATGTTTTCTGAACTTTGTCTGGAAACAAAGAGAACTAAATTAGAATCAAATAAAAAAGTTAAAAGTAAAAATGAGCAATTACATAGTGTACTTTATTAAATTGTGTAAGATTTGAATTGCGTATGTTTATTAAACATTGAGATTTAAACCATGCATACAATCTTTTACGCTGAAGTGATACGCATTTACGTTTCCAGTAAACTAGTAGGATAAGGTGTATTTTGCGTAGTTCCAATGTTTTATTATCATTATTTATTTAGATTTTTTTCCCAGACTATCTTTCTCATAAATCTTATTGTATAGATGTTACTCAAACTCTCCCTATGGGAATCCCCCCCCCCTCATACTCCCTCCACACTACCGTGGATGGTTTTGCATATCTTGATTTTACCAAAATATTTGTATAGTTTATGTAGAGGAGATGGGAAGGATAGGACGGGTTTTTACAGTAAGGTTCCAGGTTGCTCAGGGTGCACAGTTGGACAGGGGTCTATTGTTACAGGGTTTTATTACACTTTCTTCATCTGCTCTGTCCCAGCCGGGTTAAATATTATCCAGTGGTTTATTTCCCCAAGGGGGGGGGGGTTATTCTGTCTGATACAATCTGATGAAGGAGCCTAAACATCAAACTGAAATTAAATGTTGCCCTTTTTAGGATTGTATCGAAACTAGAATTATAAGAATAAGATTATATTTTGCAACTTGGAATTTTTGTAAGTCATATTGTCTCTCTGCTAAAAATAAGAATTATCAGAACTGAAATTTATATTATGATAAATATATAAACTGTTTTTGTTTCAGGTTCTATCTCAGTCTTCTCTTGATGTTCAGCACCTTGACGCTTCCCACTTACAGGGGTACATAGAACATGTACATCAACATCAACTACAGCAACAGCAACATCAACATCAACAATGTCATGTACAGCCACAATTAACTCATTTGCAGCACTATACTCAGCAGTCGGTACATAATGCTAGTGTACACAACGGTTTACAGGCTGACGTACAAGGTGGATATCATTACACAGTAGGACGGAGTATACCTGGACCTCAGGTCGAGACGAAACCTCGCTCCGGATCCAAACCTCAATCATTTATCCAACCTGGAACACAGTACGGATACGAGGATGCCGGGCATATTTACATGGAGGTGGATCCATTCTACTCCGCCCACCTAGCCGGGCCTAATCCTGCCTATCTTTCCCAAACCAACCTTCTCCCAACTCAAGCTCATACTGTTCATCTTTCCCATCCTCTCCGTCCCTCCAACCCCTCCTCCAATCTTCCTCATTCCTCGACCCAGGAGGAGTTTATCTCCTCTCCTGATGAAGAGGTTTGCTGCTCCACTCCTGGTTTAGTCAGCAGCAATAGTAGTCAGAGCAGCTCAGGGTACTCAACTGCTCCTAGTGAGCAGTACTACACTCACGGGGGGCATTTTAGACCCGGAGTATTGCGAGCTGATACTCTGAGATGCTCTGAACCCTCTTCTAGTCCGTATCCGAACCTACAGCTCACCAAAGATCAAATATTCGCCATCAGTCAATCATTTGAGTCACAGTCACAAATCCCCCAGGAGAATTTTTGCGGATTAACCCGGGGCCCTGGAGGGAGTTCCAGGAAAAAAACGCGGGAACATGCAACCGGTTCCAGGGCCCAGGAACGAGGAACGGGGCTCCGGGCCCAAGAACTCCCACTTCTCTCCCTCCAGGATACTCATCTTATATAATCCCGTGGAGAAATGTGCGAGCAGGAGATATGTCAAGATATTATATTTTGCCAAATATGAGAAAATATGTAATCCACAAAATTGTCTCTCCTCTGCCTTGGGAAAGCCAAGTTGCTTATTAAACCAGAAAATAGAAATTGCTGTTAACACCTCAGCAAAAATTCTGAGACTCAATAAATTTTAAAGTGTTGTCAGACGGTAGTAAATATTGTTTTTACAAAAACTGATTCAGTAAGCATTTTAGAAGGAAAAACAATAAGAGGAACGTACAGTTTATCACGTACAGTTTATCACGTACAGTTTATCACGTACAACGGAAGCTTGAAATTTTTTTTTTCTAAAAAATTGTTAATCGTAATGAATCTGTATCAGTTTTCAAGAATGTTCCCCTTTTGGGGGTTTGGATGAAAATGTTCTTATTAATATCTTTAATCTGTGATATATATCTATATATAATATTATTTTTCTTTTATCTTTAGTCATCGAGTAAAATTTGATAAAATAAATAACCCTTAAAAATATAGTTTCAAAGTGATAAAAAGGTTTCTAGAATTTAAAAAAAAAGATCAAATTTAAACAATGATAAATTTTAAAGGAATTTGACCTTTACCGCAATCTCGAATTTTCTAATCCCTTTATATTTTTCCAACCTAATAGTGAAACCTTTTATATTTTTAATTTAGATTATTTGATCCAACAAAATTCATAGTTTGACATATCTAAGTTCTACGGCAATGGTTTGCAGAGATATAGGGGTTAGAAAATCAGAGTTTGCGGCAAATACTCAATTTAACAAGATTTGCTAAATGGACTGCAGGCGTAATTTTTATGAACCATTCATTGGAAGAGTTGTTTGCACGATTCACAACAGTACCCTTTTATTTTTTTTCTTGCAAAATGGTGATATCTCTGTATAATTTTTTTATACAACAGATGCACAGCAAGAAAATGAAAAAATTTACTCTTTACAAGATAAAGGAATTGAGTTTTTGTAACAAACTCTGATTTTCTAATACCTATAATTTTTCCACCTAATGGAGTAAACCTTTGATATTTCAAACTTGGATTTTTTCAGCTTACAGAATTCATAGTTTGAAATATCTAAGGTCTAGGGCAATGGGTTACAAAAATATAGTGATTAGAAAATCATAGTTAGTGACAAATACTCAATTCCTTTTGATATTTTGATATTTTGATATTGATGAAATTGTACATGCAATCTTTAATTAGAGGGTCACTTGAAATTTCGTACACAGTCTCTTTAAAGAGAGAGCTATTAAAGAATGCATGTGAAAAATAAAGAAAAACTGTAATTGCGGTGTTTGAATGCCTGGTTGCACATTGTTCAGAAGTAAATGAAGAGAGTAATTGTACAACAGGTAAATGAAGAGAGTAATTGTTGTAGCAATGCATATCCTGTAGAATAAATGCTTTTATTGTATAGTTAGGGCCAAAAAACACGAGATCTGGAAAACTAAACGATACCTAAATGCGTTTTTATACAGTGAGCACCAAAGACACGAAACATAAAGAAGTATATCAACCAAGGTACTAATGCAAGGAAAGTTAATTGCGATTGTATATACTCTGGGTACATATTGAAACCAGTTCTCTCTGGTCGGAACTTGTAAACAAGAATATATGTATATCAGTGTTCGTCTAGTATCCGAGGAGGATTAAAGCATTTAATTTTGATAATTTTGATAAATCACATAATAGTTTCCTATGACCAGAATATTTCATAGATTATTTTTATGAAAATAGATTCCCTGGCATGCTGTGGAATCCGTCTTGTGTTTACTTTTCCGCCCAAAGACAGAACACTGTAGTACAAAAAGTGCGTAACCTTCGAAATAACTTTCCTTGCATTAGTACCTTGTTATTAACTAGGTAAATGTTTTATTTTACAGTGAGAGTAACACACAAGAGAACTTAATAAAACACGAGACCTAGAAAACTATACACTAACTATACACTACGTAAATGCTTTTTTATACAGTGAGCGCCCAAAAACACAAGTTCTAGATAAGAGTCAGTAAAGTATAGATTTTGTATTATACAGTGAGAGCCAAAAAACCTTTATTGAAATAACTGTCCCTTTAATTAATGTTTCTATTTTACAATGACAGGAAAAACAAGAAATCTAGATAAATATACGCTATAATGCTTTTATACAGTAAACGCCGAAAAGAAGACGAAGAGACCTTGAAGAGACCTTGATAAACTGTCTATTTAATAAAAGGTTCAATCTACAGCAATCTTCAAAAAACACGAAACCTAGATAAGTAAATGTGTTTTTTTACAGAGAGTCCTAGATAGCTCCGCTGAGTAAATGCTTTATTCTAGTAGGAAAACCAAAAATTAAAGTCCTATAATATTTTTTTAAAATAAAATTGATTTTAACCCTATCCCGTCTGGGATATTTTTGTCCAACTTATATAGGCTGATTTTGCACTTAAAGTTAAGAGAGGGGAGTGTGATACATAGTCAAACTTTTCAAGGCCTGCTCGTTAAAAAAAAATTAGACCTCTAGCTTTAATGGTAAGGGTGCATTGCAAGGGAGAATGTTAAAAAGTTCAAAAAGTACGTCGAAAAAATGTTCTAAATAACTATTTTTAATCTTGACAAATATGTGTGACACATGTTTTTCATCCATTTTCAATCACGGCTGGGGTGTGTTTGGAAACACCCCCCCCCCCCCATGCCGTGATAGAGTCAAGGAAAAACTATCAACGAATTGATGACTGCTGCAATTTCCGTCCCTAGCTGAATAGATAATGCATAGCAAATTAAATAAAAAAGTATATCTTAAAGATTTCTAAAGAAAAATCAGTGGAACTCTGGCTTGAAATTAAGTCTTATTATTCGTTTTCTTACTAAACGATCTAATAAAGATATTCATAAATAGTTCAATTTCTTATAAAATTCCCGGACATTTTTTTAGGATAAAAATTTTGAAATCTATTTTGTCGGCCCATTAGCTTAAAATCTCATTTCCTATACATGGAACCTATCTTTACTAAAAATTTCACAAAGAATATTTGTATGATATTTACCAAGGATTTAACAACGTTTTGTTAACCGCATTAAAATATACAATAAACGTATCATAAAATTGTTAATTTCGATATTCTGGGTATTTAATAATATATGAAAGCAAACTAGGGATTGGTTACGGGAACAGAGCTGGGAACTTTATGGTGGATATCAGGATTAATGCTTAATCCTCTCTTTTTGCTAATCTCGAGAGTATGTTAGTCTCAAGATTATTCATTTAGATCATCAACAAATTTGATTCTAGGAACGCCAGATTTGTTCGTTTTCTTGACTGAAAGGGCCTTCAATTAATTTCTCGCCCATTTATTTATTATAATACATTAGTTTAAATTAGTTTTAAAAAATCTTATAAGTATTATTACATATTTTTCTTCATCGATTAATTTACAAAATGGCCGACAGCAAATTATTTATTTGTTAGAAATTGTGAAGGTCTCTCATTGGATAGAATTTAATTTTCAAGACTGTCATTGGTTAATACAAACTATACAAAGAGAGAGAAAAGGAGTAGATTAAGGACTAAAATTAAAAGTTTCCACAATGGATATTCGGATTAAACGGTCTGTTATCTATTCTAAAGTTCCCAGCTCTGTGAGGTAATTTCAAGTGACCCTCCATATGTAAAGAGTGACGTATCCGGTTTAAAACGACACTTCCTTTCACATCAAATAAAATAAACATGCGTTTCTAGCTTAATATGTATTTGTAAAATTCATGAAATGTACAGTCATAATCAGAAAGACCCACAATTAATTTATAATACAAATATGAGTAATGAAACGATATTGACAAAAAAAACTAGTCCAGCCAATTCCAAAATGTGGTCTGCCTTTATTGTGCGTTAAAAACTATTAGAGATATGCAAAGTCAAGTGATTAACTGTCAATTAAATCCGGGTCTTTCTGTATATATGACTGTAAATATTTTTCTGAAAAAGAAAATCTACAAAAATTAAATGAAGCTACCGTGAATTTGATACTTTACGAAAAAAGGTAAAATAAAGAGAAGAAAGTGAGGCGGGAAGCACCTCAAAGGAACTGAATCAGTCAATACTTGCCTCAAACTTTCTTTTTAACCTGAAGATGTAGCATGTATACAAAGAGTGATCAATATTGTAATTGAGCCAACCACCCACCGGAGGTTGTTGCGTTTTCACTTAAAAAATATTGCAATAACAAAATTCTAAATCGTCCATAGGGTTGCGAAATGACGATTAAATTTCGGAGAAATTACCGTCAGACTCAGACCCCAAAAAAATATTTTGAAAAATTTAGTGTTATACATCATTGTCTTGGAAAATAATACATAACATGAAATTTTTTAAAAAAATATTTTGAAAAATTTCGTGTTATACATCATTTTCTTGGAAAATAATACATAACATGAAATTTTTTAATTTTTTTGGGTCTGAGCCTGTCGGTTATTTCTACGAAATTAAATCGTCAATTCGCTTTGCCGATTTTTATTTTTTTTTTATTTAAATATTTTTTTAAGTGAAAACGCAACAACCTCTTGTTCAGTTTCTTTCGTCATTCGTCATTCTTTTTCTTATTAATACTAAATTAACATAACTAGGATCACATGTAAAAAAAGACTAGGTGACATGCTGGTAAAAGAGAAATAAAGCCGGGCGTAGACCATTAATAGATCCCTATTATATAATAGATTATAGATAGATATATATTAAGATTAAATATGCTTCTTAGCATTTATAGTTACCCTCCAGTACTCTGTCACACCCATATTTCTGAAGTTTACTGAGGGTGTTTCCTGGCTTATAATTTACTGTGCCAGGCTTTAGCTTTTTGCAATTTGTTTTCATGCAAAGCATGTTCAGCGCGAATATATTCAAGCAAATTTTGCATATTTCAATACCGCAACACTGCTCATTAACAGAATGTAAATATGTACGCTTCCACGATTATTCGTACGCAGCCGTATACGGATATGTTTGCAAATTTATGCGTATATATAAATATATTTATATAAATCTTATCTTGTCAGATAGTAATATTGTATTGAGAAAAAAGGCTCAAAAGAAAATTAATAAATAAAAGGGGTACGTCAGTAATCTGTATTATATGTATTATATACACACACACATGTCTAGATATACATATATAGCATGAAACACTGTATATTTTATGAATAAAATGTTTAAAAAAGATTTTTATGTTTTCCCACATATTATATACT